CACTTCCTACGAAAAATTGAGTTTGTCGACTACGGGCTGTGCTTTGAGAAATTGCCACGAAAGAAGGAGAAGATCTTACAAGAGGACTTTATTGATTCGTATCTCCGCTTAGTCTCAATCAAAGAAAGGAAGATCCTTGAAAGACAATTTGAAGTGCTTGTACACTTGTCTTGTAGTGACAAGAAGATGATGAGTCGAAGCGAATTTGTTTGGACGCAGCAGCAGCTCAAATACGTCACCGACAAAGTTGGGACAATGACCAACGAAGTTTTGATGACGTGTAGTTTCAGAGTCTTAGATAGCAATTACACTGCTTCAATAGATAAAACCGACTTAGCGAAGTTCCTTAAAGTCTCTGGGATGGAAAGTAAGAAGAGTGTCGTGTTAAAATACATAGAAGAGTTAGACGAGAATGGGGACGGGGTATTACAGTTAGACGAGATCTTATCCATTCTTAAAATATTTGTGAAGAATCGCGTCTACGACACAGACAAGTACATTCAAAATTTGAATGCAAAGACTCGCAGTGATTTAGTTGATTGTAAAAATGTCGAGAAAGTCAAAATCCCCTCTAAAAACGTTCAAATTGGTAAGACGCGGAATTCGGTATTACGAGTTGAGAAAGATATCACCTACGATAATTACATCAACACATTGAAGACGATGTTTTTGGACAAATTCAGTGGGATAGAAAGTGTTTCCAAGTTCTTGTTTTACGTTGGCGATGTCAACCAAAAGGGGGTGATCACTAAAGAACGATATGCTCTTATTGTGTCGTTCTTTAAAGACAACAATTGTGTTGTACCAACGTCACATGCGCTCTATAAAGTATCATTCCAATTGGTTGCTCTCCATAATCCACAGGGAATAGATGTGAAAGAACTGATGAAATTGTGTTCAAAATTAGAAGTGCCGTTTTCTTCGGAAGAAGAAGCGTTGAATCGTCTCGTGGAGTACGACGCAAATAGAAATGGACTTGTTGAGCTCGACGAGTTCATATTAATGATGTTTGAAGACGACGAGCCGAAGCTTGACGATTCCGAGGAGGTCCGACATGACAAAGAGATCCGCAAATATGTTAAATCGTTTAGGAAGAGTGATATGGATCGTGATGGGCATATAGATGAGCCCAGTGTCTTAGACATGTTTTTCAAGAAGTGGGGGACCATGAGTGTAAATAATCAAAATGGGATTCATATAGCTTTTCTCCTCTATGGTAAGACTGGACTGATTGACGAAAATGGATTTGTACAACTTCTTAAGACGATCAACAGATGTACAACTTTAAGAACAAATCAAATTGATATGAACAAATTGGTGTTAGAAGTGTTCACTGTCTTTGATGCGAATCAGAGTGGTATCGACATGATGTCCTTCTTTGAGTTTTTAAAGAAGTTCAATGTGAATCTGACGGAAGTCGAAACGAGAAAAGTTTTCAAGGAATATAGCGTTAATGAAGTGCTTACTGCTGAAAGCTTTGCAAACGCTTTCAATAAAGTTGTTGTAGTATGAGAGATTCAAATAATTTTTTCATAGTGTTAATGATTCTTCTTCAATAATGTATGTTCTATTAAATAGATATAGAATTTTTAATTTAAATATCTAATAAACATGTAAATTATGAAATACACCTTCGTCACTCCTCTTTCATCTGCTTTTCTTGTTCTTGTACTCTTAACAACTTTCCTCTTGATCGTTTACCTCTTCCAAATGTCAAAGAAACGTTGATGGCTTCAATTGAATCTAATTTTTTATGAAACGCATTTTCTATTTTACGCGGTTTCTTCTCAACGTCAGTTTTCTTTGTCGCGAATTTGTCAAAGTCCTTTTTAGATGATACAAATTTGACGTCATTTGCACTCTCTGATTTGCCTGCATATACGTCGTCCAATTTTAAGTAATCTAAGTTCTGTTTCCAACCAATTCCTCGTGTGTCCGAAATTGTTTTTAACGTGGTCGACGTCTCACCGTCTTCGTTCTTGCCAAGACCTTTCCCCCGCTTCCACCCAGTCGACTCAAGCTGAGAGACAAACATCGCAAAGCGTGGGTCATCCAAGTCCATCGACTGTTGAAAATGTAGGGTTTGGTTTTAAGTGTATGAAGTCAAAACTCAAGTTTTTTATTTATAGAAATAATATAGTAATTATTAATTATTAATTAATATATAATATTTTTTTGCTATCTTTTAATTAATTAATTATCATTTACAATATAATTAAAAAAAAAGTATTATTTATTTAAAAAACTATAGTTGTATAGTAATAGTATAGTAATATGGTCACATAAACAAAAAATAAAACACAGTTGAATCTAAAATTCACATTTTAGAACAAGGAGAGTAGAAGAATAACAACACAGCTGACAAAGAATGATGAAACTCCATTTTCCGTTTCATATTCTTCGTTTTGAGAATTTTTGGTGTCGAGTCGGAGTTGATCAATTAGAAAGTCGTATTCTTGTTCTTCGTTTCCAGTTCTTGTAAAAATGATTGTCGAGACACCGCCATCTAGATTGAAGTTGTCCAATTTAATTGTCATTTTCTGGCTGTTGTTTTTCTTGATCTTGACGGTGTACCCCTCATTACTGTTGAGTAAGTTTTGGTTGTATAAATCATCGAAAGTCTGGTTAAAAACTTTCACATTGAGTGGGAGATATTTCACATCACCACTATCGTCAAATCTGACCATGAACCTAATAGATTTATAGTACTTGTCTTTGTCTTCTATTTTAGTGCTGATTGTCCCATTTCGTGTAAAGACAAGCATATTGCCTGGTTTCATTGTCGCAGCAACCCAATTAGAGCGTTTTGTGTAGACGCAGGTGATGTTTAAGTTGTCTGGATTCACCACCCCAAATTCTTCATAAAACGACCCATCGTCGTACAACATAAGGTCTTCGGCTTGTACACAAGCAAAGAGTACAAAGAGAAGTGTTTTCATTTTTTGATTGTATTTCCTTTATTTTTTAACGCTTAAATACCATCCTATTCTCAATTTTTTGGATCACGTTTGTCATTATCTCAATCTAATCTTGTTCCAATTTATTAAAATTCTTTTATTCATTTACAAATCATATTATAATAGTAAATTTATATAAATTCGAACCCAACCGATATAATAGTAAAATAATAACAATTAAATAGTAAACTCGTTCTAGTAAAATGATAGTTTTGACAATTTTTTTGTCTTACCTGTTGCAACGATGTCCTTTAAATCCATATAATTAACTTTATTATTGTTCTTCAAGTATTTTTTGTAGTCTGAAAAGTCAGTATGAAACTCTTTTTCACGACTTTTTACAATTACAACATTCCGACTTATCATCTCTGCTTCTCCTTCATCCAAACATTCATTATTTTTAATAGACTCAGAAGACCCCATTGAACAATTTTACAAGATCAAATGCTTTTATAGGGATTGTTGGATGTCATTTAACAACTCTGAACTAGAGTAAAGACCTTAGGTGATTATTCTAGTTTTCAAATAAAAAATTAGAAAATAATAATAAATTTATTATAATATTATGGTTTGTATACTTTATTGAATGTATTATTTTTTTATTTAAAAAATACACTTTTCTGTTGAAAAGTATTCTCTTTTTGTTTTTTAATTTGCAGAAGTTAATCTAATTTTTCGGGATTTTAAAATTAAAATAAAATTAATAATGGTTTTGTAGTAACAAAATTGGCATTTTGTATGCGTCATTTGAATTTTGTTTACCATTTTATTCAAAAAAAATTAAAAACAAA